AAAACCAAAAACACTTCGATCAACCAAATGGTCGCGCACTACCCTCGTTTGACGCCGCTCTGGTGGTCCGTCAACGGTCCCCTTCACTCCCCCGAACCGACGGAGTTGTTGAACTGGCGGGGCGAAAGAACACATTGGCCAGCAACTGCCTCCGCCCTGAGACGGCGCGAGATATCGCGGGCTTGTCCTGTCTAGGGGCCCTCGTGGGGCTATCTTGGACATTTCTTGGGGCGCTTTATGGGCCTCGGCGGGTCCTGGTGCGGCCATCGTGGGGTCACACCCAAATGTCCAACGGGCCCCAGGGGTTCTGAAAAAAACACTGGCCCGAAGAACCCAGCTCACATCCAAGACGCTCCGATGTTCCCCCCAATACGGTCCAGGAGCCCCTCGGATAGGGCCCAAACCAGCCAAAGCCGAACAATACACACCGAGTGCCGACGCCAAGATGGCCCCGAGAGAGCCCGCGAGGTCCGAGCGAGGCCGCAGGACGGGCTCGAAAGCTCGGCCAGCAGCGTGTCGAGTTCATGATTGCCAGGGGCGACTAACTATGTAGCACGCCGAAGCTGCGGATAAGAACGATGAGGGCGGGCGCGGGGTGGGTCGCCGGTGGGCCGCAGGTGTGTCGCAAGGTGGGTCTAGGGTGTGTCGTGGGTGAGTCGTGGGGTGGGTCGCGGCCGGTGGGTTGCGGGTGGTCGCAGTCGAGGACGACGACAACAATAAACAACAAATCCGCCGACCCTGTCGGCATATGTGGGGTGTCTGTCTGGTCTCGTCGACGGGACGCCTTTTCTGTTTATCCTTCCCCGTCGGGAGTGAGAGAGCACTCTCCCGTCGTTGGTGGGAGGAGTCTGGGGATTGAGGGAAATCGACCCACGTCGTAGTCACATCAAAGGGAAGCCCCTTCCCTTCGTCCTTTCCCCGTCGGGGGGGGAGGGGCCCCAGGAGGGGGGTGGGGGGGGCAGATTCGCATCCCCCGCTTGCGGCTTTTACAGGGAGGCCCTCTGTAGATGCGATGGAAGAGAAGGGGGTCGCCACGACGGATCCGCAAGAGCGCCCCTAGACGGCCCAAGCCCCAAAAAACAGCCCAAGAACGCCTAAGGACGGCCAAAGGGGACCCCCAGACGACCAAAGGACGCCGCCCAGATACGTGTCCCCCTCGAGCGCCCCCGAAACCATGAAAAGCTGTTTCCAAAGACCCCAGAATGCCACAGCGCCTCCTACTCCTCCTCCTCCTCCTCCTCCTCCTCCTCTTCTTCTTCTTCTTCTTCTTTTTCTTCTTCTTTTTCTTCTTCTTATGCTTCTTCTTCGTCTTCATCTTCTTCTGCTTCTTCCTCCTCCTCCTCCTCCCCTCCTCCTTCTCTCCTCCCCTCCTCCCCCTCCCCCTCCCCCTCCTCCTCCTCTCCTCCTCCTCCTCCTCCTCCTCTCCTCCCCTCCCTCCTCCTCCCTCCTCCGTCCGCCTCCTCCACCCTTCCTCTTCCCCCTCCCACTTCTCCTCCGCCCCCTACCCCCCGCCCCCCGCTCGTTTTCATCTCCGTCGTCTCCAAGGCTGGCGGGGCCGCAGAGACCCTCGCAATCACAAGACATCGGGGCCACGGAACCCCACTGCAGCCACGCACCCGAGGACAATGAGCGACCGTCCGGGCCCCTCACTCTGACCTTAGATACAGTCGGGGCGCTGACCTAAGGAACCCTAAATAAGGAGCGAGGCCCCTTTTTTACCATAAATTGAACTTCGATTTCCGATCGAAAACCTAAGGAAAACCTGAGGCAAGCTGCGAAACACTTAAGGAACGCGGAGCCCCTCCCCAACGAAAAGGGTTCCTTCTTCAGGGCCCCGACTGTACTCTGACTTTAGATGCCTGCGTTCGCGGGCTCAGGGACTCCACACTGGGTCACGATGGCAAGACATCGGGGAAATAAGCCACGCCGCGGACTCGACTGGGGAGCATGGCATGGCGACGACGACGCAACGACGTCAGAAACCTGGATGTGACTGCCAAGCGCTGTTGAAGATACAACGGCAAGCGGGCACAAGTGAAGCATTTGAAACAACATGGTCATGCCACGCCGAGGCTGCATTTGGTCTGGAAGGCATGTCGAAAGCGCTGCCCTGCCTTCCGAAAGAACTTCAGCGGGTTCTCGCCCAAGAAGTTATTGCAAGTCTTGTACATCAGCCAGAACACATAGACGGTGAAGACCATGAACATGAGTAGCAGCGTGATTTGCAGTATGAACACGTTGAGAGGAGCCCCTGCCTGACAGGCGCGACGGAGAGGCCCCCCTCACTTGAGCTCAATGAGGTAGATGGAAAGCAGGTAGCGGCAGGCTGGAAGCGGAGTGGGTGTGGAAAGACCAATGGTTGTCGACCCATGGGCTTGTGCAGAGGCGTGTTCGTGAGAAACGGGCTGGGGAAGGGGGGAACAATGGGAAGGGGGGAACAATTAGATGCACGGAAGGATGGTCGAAATAATGAACATTGGCAAAACCATACGCTTCCGGAGGCCTACGCTGATGTCTTGGATCGGCGCTGGACGTGAGGAACCTCCGCGGACCTTTGTTAAAGCTTATGCCGATGCAGGCGTGTCTTCTTCGAGGACAGCACGAGTGAACATGCTACATGCGGAGCACATGGGGCACTGACGCAAGTGGGCATGGGGGGGGAGGCGGCGAAGAGATGCGTGTGCGAGCATCAGATGGGGGATTTCGAGCGGTGGGGTTGAAAGTGCACCCGTCCCCAGAAACCGATGTGAGGCGCTGGGGCCAACAACACTCGGCACCCCCAGCGGGCCACAAACGAGGCAGAATCTCTGGTATGAGGTTCTCAAGAATCGAGCATCTTCGACCCAGTCGGGGCGTTGACCCAAGGAACCCTAAATAAGGAACGAGGCCCCTCTTCTCCATAAGTTGAACCTCGATTTCCCACACAAAAACCTGAGGGAAACCCGAGGCAAACTGTGAAACAATCAAGGAACACCGATCCCCTCCCCAACGAAAGCCCCTCCCCAACAAAAAACCGAAGACATAGGAAAAGATGGGGAATCATCTCATTTGTGTGTATTTATTATTTGTGTGCTCCAGGGCCCCTTCACACAAACGAGCCAGAATCTCTGGTATGAGGTTCTCAAGAACCGAGCACCTTCGACCTATCTCGCGCGCGGGGCGGCCATTGGGGTCCTCGGGGGGGCGGCACCCCTGGCGAGTCCGCGCTCCGAGGTGCCAAAACTGCCAGGCGCGGCACCCGGGACCCCTCTCTGCGGGATCAGCCGGCATCGAATCGGGACACCGGCTCGAATCGAAAGGTGCGTCGGCTCGGGCTGCGTCGGCACGGAGTCGGAATCGGATCGCATCGGCTGGGCCAAAACTCGCAAAAAAAACACGCCGTGCAGATCTCCGGCCGCGTCGGATCGTCGGCATCCCGGAATCGAGCCGGATCGGGCCAGCCAGCGTCGACATCGACCCGGATCGCCCTGGCGGCCCCAAGTAGGAGGAGGAGGAGGAGGAGGAGGAGGAGGAGGAGGAGGAGGAGGAGGAGGAGGAGGAGGGAGGAAGAGGAGGGAAGAGGAGGAGGAGGAGGAGGAAGGAGGAGGAGGAGGAGGAGAGGAGGAGGAGGAGGAGGAGGAGGAGGAGGGAGGAGGAGGAGGGAGGAGGAGGAGAGGGAAGGAATGAGGAGGGGGAGGGAGGGAGAGGGAAGGAAAATGAGGAGGGAGGGAGGAGGAGGGAGGGAATAGGGGGAGGGAAGGGAGGGAGGAGGAGGAGGAGGAGGGAGGAGGGAGGAGGGAGGGAGGAGGAGGGGATGACCAGCGGCCAGGCGGCGCCACGATGACCAGCGGCTCCTCCAGGGCGCGCCGCACACGGCTGGGGCTTCACGCACCCGACACGGCGCCTCCACGGGCCGCCGAGGGTCCTCCCGGCGCTGCCCCCACGAGGCCAAGCTCGTACAGTAGGAGGAGGAGGAGGAGGAGGAGGAGGAGGAGGAGGAGGAGGAGGAGTAGGAGGAGGAGGAGGAGGAGGAGGAGGAGGAGGGGGGGAGGGAGGAGGAGGAGGGAGGGAGGAGGAGGAGGAGGAGGAGGAGGAGGAGGAGGAGGAGGAGGAACCCTAAATAAGGAACGAGGCCCCTTGATTCCATAAGTTAAGCTTCGACTTCCCATGGATACCCCAACGCAAACTGTAAAACAATCAAGGAACACCGAGCCCCTCGCCCACGAGAAGGGTTCCTGCTTCAGCGCCCCGACTGTAGGAGCCCAACCACAGGAAACCTTCCACAAACCACCCAACCCTGAAACTCCAGGCCATCCATCGATTTTTGGCGTGGGAGCGTCACGCTTTCCATAGCAGAACCATCGAAGCCCAAGAAAATCAGGGCACCCTTGAGGCAAGCACGGTGTTTCTTGGCATGGGCCCCCACTGTATTCGCAGGCGATGCTTCCGCCCGCGATTTGAGCTTTCTTGGCTTTGTGGGGCTTCTGAGGCCACGAGATTGCTCCAAGGTCGCCCAGGACAGCTCCAAGTGTATGTAGCCTGGAAGTGCTCCAAGATGGCTCAGACTACTCCCAAGAGCGCCCCAGGAACGCCCCAAGCCAAGAGTGGGGATCAATGTGTGGCAGGCCCCAAGACTGGCCCCAACGAGAGCCCCAAGGCGCCCCGAGATTGTCCAAGGCAGCCCCTAGGAAGCCAAAAGTCTTGCAAGCCAGAATCGTATTTGGCTTGGGCAAGCTTGAAGAGTTTGTCGAGGAATGTTGGAGATTGCAGGCAGAATACATGCTAGGAGTGGCCCCTGAGCATTCCACAGGCTGCTCTCGTATCACACGGGCGCATCATGAGGGAAACCGCGCATATACGCACTCTCATCTGAGCACATTCCTCATGCACCTCGTGCCCAGACGCAGGTATGAGGAGGAGGGCGAAGGAGGTCTCGTGGGGTCACCACACTTGTGCGATTCCAACCGTTTTAGATGTGCCGGCGCATCCACGCTCGGGCACGACATGATCAGGTCGCAACTTCAGGGGTCGCCAAGCCAAGCGAGCACATCCACGGGAGACAAGATCACTTCGCGGCGCGTGTTCTTGGGGGTCTCCGCGCCCGTGTACGAGCCTGCGACGTAGTTATCGAACAGGAACGTATCTCCGTGGAGTGTGTCCACGGTCGTGCAGGCCTGCCCCCGACGGATCATGGCCGCGGCCGCACGAGCGTTTGCATTCTCGGAGTAGGTGGCATTCTCGCCCGCAGCCGGGTTGCTAATTTCTCGCAGCGACCCAGGGCTGAACTCGCAGTGGGGCAAGGGCTGGAAGTCCACGCGCACGACGATCTCGTCGTCGTACTCCTTCAGAGTCAGCGGCCGGCCGCTCAGCAGCTCGGCGAGCTTGTTCTCTGTGATCTGGAGGCTCCGCGCCGTCTCGTCAGCTTTAGCCTGGGCTTAGGTCGGGCATGTCCCCCCTACAAACAAATAAAAGATACCCCACAAACAAACTAAACGAGTACTCAAACATGGGCAAGAAATCGTCCCCAGACGTGTTATAGTATGTTTGAATATTCCCCCTGTAGAGGGACATGCCCAACTCAAGCCTGGGCCTCCTCGACCGAATTCTCGTCTGCGTTGTCTGCGGCATCTTGCAGGGGCTCGAGCTCCCTCTTCAGCTTGTCGATCTCCGCCTGAAGCAGGGCTGGCCCTAGACGCTGTGTTTCGTTATGTTTTCCGTTCTGCACTGTCTGGTCTCCTGTACCTCCCTGCCAAAACGAAACACAAAACACAGCCGAAGTCCAGCAGAACAGCGTTTGGGTCCAGCCCCGGCCTGCAGCCTCTTCAGCTCGGCCTCGTCCTTCCCGCTCGCCTTGTCGCGGACCCTCGCCTGCTCTGCCCCGCCCCGGACGCACGCGGCAAAGTCCGAGCCCGAGGCCTGGCCGCCGTAGATGCTGCCGCGGGGGCCGCACGTGTACTTCATCTCCGCGCCGTAGGCCTCCGGCATCGTCGAGGAGTAGGAGGGGGCGGCGACCTCGAATAGCCTTCGCACGTAGACCAGGCTGCTGCTCCTGGACCTGGTCCACCCCGCCGCGCCCCGACGCCACGCCACGTGAGTCTCGCGGCGCATGTGCGCGCCACTCTGCAGCTCGATCTCCGTGCGCACGGAGAGGGTCAACGGGTGGGGCACGGTCTTGCTAGGGTCAGCCTTCCGTGCTCTTCCGAGCACCTCCAAAGCCACCTCTTGAAGAAGCACGAGCGCTATAAACATAAACTGTTGGCGCTCCGCGCGGATATCCTGGATCTGCGCTGGACCCCCCCCCTCCCTGGCACGCGGAGCGCGCCAGGAGCGGCGCCGGAAGCGCCGCTGGTGGGGCTCAGCGCGGATCCACGAAATCCGCGCGGAGCGCCAAAAGTTTATGTTTATGCCGTTTTTCCTTCTTCGAGCCTCGCCCCAAGCAAACTCAGATTCGATCTCCTCGTAGGCCAGGCATGTCCCCCTCCCTACAGGCGCGGATTTTGGACGAACGCTGAACAGATCCAAAACATTCAGATAAAACATCGTCCCCTGACTATTTTTGATGATTTTTGGGTATTCCCCCTGTAGAGTAACCAGCCTCGAACCTATCCCTTTCCCTAAGATGGGCGAGCACAAAGCGAGGACAATCTTAGGGACAGGCCCTCAGAAATTTAGGGAATCCTTAAGATCGGCATCGAGGTGAGGTGATGCCAAACCTAGGGATAGGGATTTGCTTCAAACCGGTAGTAGAGGGACACGCCCGACGGAACTGTCCTCTTCCACGTCCACGCCGTCGCACGGCACCGTGAGCACCCACCGGCCGAACTGCTCCCGCGAGCCGCCGCCTCCCTCCGCCGTCTGGAAGGCCATGCCCCAGAGCGCCTCCCCCGCCTGCGCGGGCGGCGATCGTGCCCGTACAGTCGGGGCGTTGACCAAATGAACCCTAAATAAGGAACGAGGCCCCTTTTTTCCATCAGTTAAACTTCGATTTCCGATCGAACACATAAGGAAAACCTGAGGCGAGCTGTGAAACACTTAAGGAACGCGGAGCCCCTCCCCAACTTAAATGGTTCCTTCTTCAGGGCCCCGACTGTATCCGCGCCCTCGCGGTCTGGATTCCAGGGCGAGGTTCCGCGGATACGCGGTCGCATGGATCCGGCGGCGAGCGAGGGGGGAGACGGGAGGGAGAAGGCCCTCTCAGAAGGCCACGGGACTTCTCAAAAGCCCTCGCGCCTCTTGAGGAGTGTTTCCTGTCTTCGGGGAGGGCTCAGAAAACTTCTCCAAGGCTGGGAGACTTCCGAACCTTTCTGAGAAGGACTTCTCCTTCTCACTTCCCCCCTGGCTCGCCGCCGATGGATACGGCCCGCGGCCCGGCGGCCTGGCCCGCGAGGCCGTGGATATGGGCACTCCGGATTTCTTCCTACAAGGGGGGCTCACCGTCCTACCAGACGAGCAATTGATCCCCCTGGGCCAGCCGTGCAAAGGCGGCCTCCTGCCCAGACCCTTCAGGGCCCTTCCAGACAGCTCAGATCAGTCCCCAGCATCAGACCACCTCCCTTCTACGTATGGTGAAATCCGGAGCATGTTTCCCGCTCGCGACGCCTCGATGGACGGGTAGAGCCGAGCCTTTTCGATGCGGGCGCGCCGGTTCTGAACCTTCGCGCTAAGGCCCTGCACAGCATTCGCCGCCGCGCCGTGCAGAGCGCTGCCCAAGCTTGTGCCCGCCCCGAGGATCGTGCGGTGGAGCCAGGAGCCCCATCCGTAGCGGTCGTTGTTGCCCCCGCTGCCGGCGAGGCCAGCGAGCGAGTCCGCCTGAGGGGGGCTGGCTCGAGCAAGGCTCGACCCAGACAATGTGTTTCGTTCCCGTTGTGATTTGGGTCCGTCGCTTTTGTCTGAAATCCGCCTCTGCTGTAAAACGACATCGAAACAGAAACGGCCCGCGAAATCGCCCACCCCCATGGACTCGAGGAGGGAGACCACGACCTAGCGACGTAAAGCAACGGGTCTTACGCAAGATGTTATGGCGGCCTTACGCCGCGGCTTACGCGGGCCGCCAGCGCGGCACGCTGCTGCATCGGAGGGGGGGGGCGCTGAAGGCTTACGCGCGACCTTACTCGGGAAATGTACGCCTCAAGGTCGGTGAAAACGATCCCGTTTTTTGCTCAGTCGCTCACCCGGCAATCGACGACACGCCCCCGAGGGATCAGCGATGCCCCCTGCTTGCGAAGCCGGAAATTCCTCGGCCAGGTCCCGATGGGCGAGGGATGGACGACTGGGGGTCGATGCGTCCCCCCCTGAGCCTTCTCCCCGCCCCAAGGAGTCCTCGGGCCGTACCGCACGTCGCTGAGAGACGGCGGCACCGCCCGGGGTGGACCGAAAAGGTCCCCCCCCCCCCCACCCCTTGATGGGCCAATTTTCCACCACCACTACCTCATCATAGAGAGGGAGGAGGAGAAGGGGGAGGAGGAGGAGGAGGAGGAGGAGGAGGAGGAGGAGGAGGAGGAGGAGGAGGAGGAGAGGAGAGGAGGAGAGGAGGAGGAGGAGGGGGAGGAGGGGAGGAGGAGGAGGAGGAGGAGTAGGAGGAGGAGGAGGAGGAGGAGGAGGAGGAGAAGGAGGAGGAGGAGGAGGAGAAGGAGGAGGAGCAGGAGGAGGAGGACCTCCTCATCCTCCCTTTGCTCCCGTCCTACATATGGTGATGGTGGTGGAACATTTGCCCATCACCCCTGTCGATGCCCCGGACCGCCGCGCCAGCCAGGCTGTCGGCGAGACCGGAGCCGAGCGTTGCCGCGTTCAAGACCGCCGGCTTCGAGCACCAGCGGGAGTATTTCTTCCGCACCTGCGGCGTCGGACGGCAGCTCAGGAAACAGCTCCTGGGAGGTCTTCGGAGGAGCGATTGCTCGGGCCACTGAGCCCAGCCAGGGGGCCATCATTGAGCCAAATTAGGATTGAGCCTAAGATTGAACTAGATTGGACGGGGGGTTGAGCTGGATTAGACCGGACTCGCCCAAATCATGCCAGATGGGGCCGGTTTTCGACCACGAAAAGACCGGCGCCGATGCTGAACTTAGCCTCTCAGAAGTTTCGGGGGCGCGCAAAGATGGATTGGCGATCCATGGATTTGGCGCGCGGTCGTCAAATCCATGGATCGGGGAAGGTGCCCTTCCCAAAATGCGATCGGTGCGGCGGAAATCCGCGATTTCCCATGGAAACGGGACCCGTCGCCAATCCACGCCCCCTTGATCCATGTTTGCGATCGCTTAAAATTTGCATCCTAAGAAAGAAAGGGCTAGCAAGGAGGAAGGCTTAGCGAACCAGCTCACGTGACTGATTTTCCTGGCACCTCCCGGCGCCAGGGGCACCACCGCATCGAGGAAGGCGCCCAGTGGCGGTGCCGAAACCCGCCGCACGCAGCAGGCTTCGCACCCCCATCCCCTTTTCCGGTCCACCCCTTCCGACCCTGGCGGAAGGAGGCCGAATCCACGTAATCGCATGCAATAGACTTCGTACCCGCTCCACCTTTCCCTCTCCCCTCCCGCCGACCGACCCTGATCTGACTACCTACCAGACCACCCCAACCCAACCCGAAGACGCGAATCTCGGGTTGGGGGGGGTACTGGTTCCATGTGTGTTTTTTCGATGTTTCCCGACCCCCCCCCACTGGAAATCGAGGGTAAATTGGGGCCTTCGGGTTGGGTTGGGGTGGTTTGGTGGGTGGTGACCCTCTCCCCTCCCGCCGACCGACCCTGATCCTCGTAATCTGGTTCACGGATCATAGCTCGAGCCGCCGGTGGCCGTGCGGGGCGATCTGGGCACGCCCGGAACGCCCTCGGCGACGCGCGCGCCGCTGGAGAGCATCCCTCTCGGCCGGATCACCGCCGAGGACCGATAAGACCACCCATCGGTCGGAAGAAGCAGGTAGAAACATGAAGTATCGGGGATGGACAGACCTCCCTTTAGTAAAACGTGGTTTAGTGAAAACGACCTGAAGCCCAAACCTGGCGGGCGCAGGCCTGGAAAATAACGGCCGCGGCGCCCTCTCGAGAACCGAAAACGGACAATTCACTAATCGACGTGTCACTGTTGGGGGTTCTGTCCACCCCCGAAAGTAGGAAGGCGTTGGAAATACATTGGGTTTCCGCCCGCCGCCTGAAGAGGGAGGAAGAAGGAACACCACTCGACTCTTGAAGTAGGAAGGCGCTGAAAGTAGAGTGGAATCTGGAAATCCAAAAATACCTACTTTCAACGACCGATGCGTACGCGAAAACATCAAAACCTCAACATCCGTCGACCTCCGGAGGTCTCGACCCATTCCCCGGAACTGGCGTGTCATCCCGAGTCGTTTTTGAACCGTCACGGAGCCAGGCGAATGCTTCCAGGTGTCGAACACAGCCCAAACCAGACTTCCCCAGACCGAAAACGGTTCGTCCGAAGCGGACCTCGTAGGTGCATGCGCGCCCGAGGGTCACCCAGTCGCGGGAGATGCCCAGCTCGTCGAGGCTGCTGCGCCTCTGCACGACGGTGACGAGCTCCATCTGCTCGGTCGGGCCGTGCTCTCGGGCCTGGTGCTGGACCTGGAGCCCGGTGCGCCAGAAATGGTCCTACAGCCCAAAACGAGGGGCAACGATGGGGTTAAGTCGGGCGTGGCCCCCTACAGGGGGATCTTGGACGGAAAATAAAAAATAGGCAAAACATACCCTATACTATTCAACATGGTCGAAAAATCGTCCCCCGACTATTTTTGTTTGACTATCTGTGAATCTTCCTCCCGTAGAGGGACAGGCCCGACTTAACGATATGGGGGGACTGGCTCAGGGGGGCAAACGTCAGCAAGGACTCGACGATGCCGCGCCGCTGGAGCGGCGGCGATAGGCCCTCGACAGCTAAGCCGCACGGGTCCTGGGCGGGGTGGGCTGTCGGGCCCCTGTCAGCGATGACCGAGAAACCGAGGGCCGATGCTTCACCCCCTCCGCCTATACCCATCGATTGGAAGAAGCAGGCAGAAACATGAAACAGGAAAGCGTCGGCCCCTGTCAGCGATGACCGAGCGACGGAGGGTCGATACTTCACCCCCTCCCCGCCTATACCCATGGATCGGAAGAAGTACAGGGCATTTGTTTTTATACATAGGATGTTTTAAACTAGAGGATGTAATACATGATTAATGTATGAATAACTTTATGCATGAACTCATCGTTGTTTTTAATACCGAACCCCTGCATTGTTTATACATGATCCGCAAACGGAACATATAAAAAACGGCACTGTAGGCAGAAACATGAAATAGAAGAACGTCGGACATTAGACTGCGTGTCCGTTTGCCCCCTAAAAGACGATGGAAAGGGTGAAGCTACTCGATCTCGGCGGTGGACACACCTCCCTTTAGTAAACCTCCCCTTAGTGAAAACGGCCTGGGGCCGAAACCGACGGACCTCGACCCGCAAAATGACGGCCGCGACGCCCTCTCGCGACCCGAAAACGGCCAATTCCTTAATCGACGTGTCAGGGTAGGAGGTCCATCCACCTCCGACGATCATTGAAGTAGGACTGCGGTCAAAGTAGATTGTTGTAATCTGGGAATCCATACTTTAAAACGACCAGTGCGCATCCTCCCTGACGGCCGCGACGCCCTTTCGCGACCCGAAAACGGCCAATTCCTTAATCGACGTGTCAGGGTAGGAGGTCCATCCACCTCCGACGATCATTGAAGTAGGACTGCGGTCAAAGTAGACTGCAGTCTGGGAATCCATACTTGAAACGACCGGTGCGCATCCTCCCTGACGGCCGCGACGCCCTTTCGCGACCCGAAAACGGCCAATTCCTTAATCGACGTGTCAGAGTAGGAGGTCTGTCCACCTCCGACGATCATTGAAGTAGGACTGCGGTCAAAGTAGACTGTAGTCTGGGAATCCATACTTTAAACGACCAGTGCGCATCCTCCCTGACGGCCGCGACGCCCTTTCGCGACCCGAAAACGGCCAATTCCTTAATCGACGTGTCAGGGTAGGAGGTCCATCCACCTCCGACGATCATTGAAGTAGGAACGTGGTTAAAGCAGATTGTTGTAATCTAAGAATCCATACTTCAAACGACCGATGGCCATCCTCCCTGACGGCCGCGACGCCCTTTCGCGACCCGAAAACGGCCAATTCCTTAATCGACGTGTCAGGGTAGGAGGTCCATCCACCTCCGACGATCATTGAAGTAGGACTGCGGTCAAAGTAGATTGCAATCTGGGAATCCATACTTGAAACGACCGATGGGCATCCTCCCTGACGTTGCCCCTGAGCTCCCGGCTTCTCGCGCCGCTCTGGAACCTCCGGGGCCCCTTTGGGCCTCGCGAGGGGGTGCTCTGGAGGCCACCTGGGCCTCCCCCCGGGAGACCTGGGGAGACGCCATGCTCTCCGTACAGTGGAGACCCATGCCAGGAAACGCTGATTCACGAATGTGAAGCAAAGTTAGAACTGCTTGCCCCATGCATGTTCTGTCCTCTCCCCCTTTGCTTCTCCTTCCCCTCTTTGTGCCGCTGCGTCAGCGTCTTGCCTCCAGGGTACCCTGGGTTCCTTGGGCTTCGATGGTTCTGCGATGGAAGCCGCGACGTTCCCACACCAAGAATCAGTGGACGTCCTGGTGGGGTCTCAGGGTTGGGTTTCTTGTGGAAGTCTCTTGTGGTCGGGCCTCCACTGTACCCTTCTCGGCGTTCCGGGGCCCCAGAGACGGCGCCAGAGGGTCCAGCTCAGATCCCAACAGAAATCCGCGCGGACCTTTGACCGCGTAGTCTAGCATCCGTCGAAACGTTGAGGGGGCCCAAGGACACACACACAAATAAATACACACAAACAACAGAAGTCCCAATCTTTTCCTATCTTTTCTGGGGGTCGACGAATCATTGTGTCTGTGTTTTTTTCCCCTCCTGAAGCGTGCTTCCCAATCCGCGGCCGCAGGTCCCGACCGCTTCCCCAGGCTCAGGGCTGGTCCTCCGTCTCGGATCCATGTCCGATGGCCCTGGGGCCTGACAGAGCGGCCGAGCTCGAGGAAAACGCCACGATTGGGAAAGTTTCTCAATCGTGGCGTTTTCCTCGGAGATACAACCATTTCCTCGATTGAGCTCAAGGAGAAACACTTCGGAGATACAACCATTTCGTCGGATATCTGGGTGAGGTCAGGTCAGAGGCCTTGCGCCAGACGGCGCGCGGGCAGGGTGAAGCACGGCGATGGCGCCTGCGGAGGTGCCCTTCGGCACTCCATCCAAAGCAGGCTCTGCAAAGCAGGTCCGGCTGATATGCATCAAAGGAGGAGGAGGAGGAGGAGGAGGAGGAGGAGGAGGAGGAGGAGGAGGAGGAGGAGGAGGAGGAGGAGGAGGAGGGGGAGGGGGAGGAGGAGGAGGAGGAGGAGGAGGAGGAGGAGGAGGAGGAGGAGGAGGAGGAGGAGGAGGAGGAGGAGGAGGAGGAGGTTGAGGTTGAGGGCGCTCCGAGGACGCGCGCGTCGAGGGCGCGCGACTCGGCTGCGGCTCCGAAGCCGCGGGGGCCGCGGCCGAGGTGGCGGGAGGCCAGCGGCCTCAGGGCAGCACAGCAGCCTGCTCCGCCTCGGGCCAGTTGGCCACGTCCTCGGCCCGCAGCCGCTTGGCCCGAGGAGTGCTCTCGACTCGGGCCTCGATCACGTCCAGGTCGGGGCTGGGGCGCTTGCCGCGGGCTGCCTCGAGCAGCCAGCGGACCTTCTCGTCGAACGCCTTCAGCTTCTTGACAGGGGCCCCTGCCAAGGGGAGTCCAGCACGTTGAACACCACCTCCGCGAGGAGGGACATCCGCACGAACACCAGCAGGGCAGGGGGAGCGGGAGCCCGACGCAGACTCCCCACTCCAGGTGGTCTCCGCCGCATCACCTTCTTGACTGCCGCAATTTATCACAGGCTGCGGCCGACTGTCGGTGGAAGTCGTTGGACCCGAGGAGGCCGCTCCCAGCGGGACTGGCCTCCGCGGGTCTGCCGTGCCGCCGTCCAGCGCGTGGGAGACGTCGCCGACGGAGGGGAAGGGCTCGGCGTCCAGGGCCACCAGCTCCATCGGCCTGGGCTGGGCCGCCTACCCCGAAGCGGCTGCAGCTCGCGCAGCGGCCGCTCGCGCGGCACGGCGGCGGGCGGCCTGCTTCTTGGGGCCGAGCAGGATGCCCTCCCCAGCATGGGCGAACCGCCGCCGCCCAGCGACCTTCGGCCAAAGGCCGCGGGCGATCCGTTGGAGGTAGTCTCGCCCGGTCCTCGACGGAGCCGTAGGACAGCACGCGCGGAGACCCCGCCCCAGCAACCGGCCGGCGGCCGCCGTGAAGAACCCGCACTTCAGGCAGAACCAGACGTCGAGGTTCTGGTGCAGCCGCATGGCATGAGAGGGATGAGGTCGGCCTCCGCCGATGTGCACGTCGTCATCTGCCAACTTGAGCGCGTGGGCGCCGTCCCGCTGCAAACCAGGGCACCGCGCCTACAGCCACTGCGAACGGGATGACCGCGACGCTGAGCACCTGCACCTCTGGCAGCTGCCTTGGCTGTCCAACACATGGGACATGCCGAAGGCAGCGACGAGGCGGGCTGCAGGTGGAGCCCGCCTCCGCCTCCTGGCACGCCGCGCTGCAGGGGCCAGGCCGTTTTCCGCCTCGATGGCGTCGAGGGTGGCTCGTAGCAACCTTCTCCTGACCAGCGTGGCCATGTGCTCCGTCTGGTGGACCCGAGCCCGCTCGTGGGCAGCAACGCGGACAGCGTCCGCTGCTGCTCCCGCCAGGACGCCCGCAACCGCGTTGCCGACGACCAGCCACGGGGAGACCTGCAACCCGAAAGCCTCAACTCCATATGTGAGCACACGTGCTCCACAACGAACTCCGATCTGGGCCTGCTCCTGCTGCGAAATGTCTGCGCGAGGAGGCCCCACGAATCGCTGTCGTCGCCGTGCGGCTGCAAATCAAGACGCCTCCACCAGCCCTCGCAGACGGCAAGGTTGTCCGAGATGTACACCGTGGGGCCGAGGGGGCCTTGGGCGGCGAGCACAGGCGCCCGCAACTCACCACGGTGGACGGTCTGCGTGCTGCCACTGAGGCCGCCCCACGCTGCCTGCACGAGACCTCCGTCGACCAGGTGGACACGCGCCACTGCAAGACCCACGCGACGAAGGTGCGGGTCATGCCCCTCTGGACCTCCGCTGGCATCGCCGAAGAGGACAAGTGGAGCTTCCTCGGTGCCCTGCCCCAGTGCCCCTGGGGCCAGCGCTGCGGCCTGCTGGCCATCCATTAGCGTCCAGAGGTCGTGGTCGCGAGGGGCGGCGACCTCAGTCCAGCAGCGAGGGATGATGCCGCGCAGCCAGAAAGCCGCGTGCGCCTCCTGGTCCGCGGCCGCGCGGGGCAGGAACTCGCTGCTGTCGTCGTAGGCCTTGTTGCCGACGTTGCAGGGGCAACTCCAGAACCGATGGAAAGGGGTCTCCTCCTCGCCACCACACCGTGGGCAGTTGGCGCACTCAATGTCGCCGAAGATCTCCTTCTTGCGCGACCTCGGCCAGGCACCGCCCACCGCAATGGTGGCGAGTAGCTCCTCGGGCGCA